CACTTTCTTATTCCAGAAGTGCTGCATGTTCTCCGCTTTGAAGTCCGCGAAAATCTCGTAGCCCGTGTGGTGGTGCTGCAGCTGTTCGGTGACGGTGGGGGACTCCTCATCGTCGCCTACCCGACACAGCACTATGGCCAAGGAGTGGGGGGCAATCTGCAGAAACTCATCCATCTCTTAGCGCATCACTCGCCGCGTCCGCCGCGACCCGTCTCACATTCCCGGCTCGATCGCATGGTCCCGACGGCCCGGCGGGCAATTAAAACCGACAGTGATCATTTGGTGTCCGTCCACCGGATCCTATCTGCATAATAAATCAGATGCGTTACCGAATTAGAAAGAAATAAACTGAAGAAAGCTCAGTCTATAGCTGACACAGAGACATGTCTTCAGACGCGGCTGAACGCAAAGGCATAATCCAGCAAAGCCGGGCAGGGACAGCTGTCCAGAAATCACTTGGGCTTGCGGGCGACCGCCGCTCCGCACCTACCCGTCAGGATCCTGTGGTTCTGATCCACTTTACGGTGTCGTCTTCAGGTGCTGGAAGCTCCTCCGGTGAAGTGTATCGATTTACATTGAGAAGAGTCCTGGTTTGGTTCCGTCGGTCTGCAATGACTTCATCGATCCGTTCGCAAGCCGCGGCTGAGCATACCTCTTTCCCGAAACGGAGGTGTTCCCCACGAATGCGGCTCTCACAGCCGCCCGTTTAGGTGCCCAGCGGGGTCGGCGGTCACCGCAGGTAGCAGCACGAGTCTGAGGAGAGACTGCCGGCGAGAGAGACGCGCTGCCTGCTTCCCAGCGGCCGTGTTACGCGAAGGAGACACGGAGCCGCCAGATGTTTCTCACGACTCCACCTACAGGAGGAGGCCGCCGGAAAACATGGCGAGCGCGAGCCGCCTGTATACCGGCAGGTGAGCCGGCGCGGGGACTCGCGAGGAGCCCCGAGTTGTTACGGACGTCGGGTGGAGCACGTCTCCAACACCCCCGGACCCGGCTTAAAGGAGGAGGGATACATGTCAGCCACTAAAACGTCTGCGGCTTCTGTCATTTCTAGCAAAATAAACATTTACTTTTCTAAGAGGATTAAATATTGAAAATAGACCCTTTCACGTCCATGTCTTCGGTTACATCAGTATTATTGCTGTATAATGTCAGTTATTTCTCCTGTGTCAAATTAAAACGTTGACAGACATCGACCGAGTAAATTATTCCAGAACTAAACCTGCTGCAACCGACCCACCGGCCGCGGTTTCCATAAACGTGCGGTCCGTCGTCGCAGTAGATAAACAGTAAGGATCTCAGTAAAACCATTCATTATACACATTTACTGAGGGAATTATCGGCTCTCACTTTATACCTGAACCGCTTTCGAGGAAAAAAGTTTGTAGTGAAGTGAGGGGGGAAGTACACGGGAAACAGAGCGTTTGGGGGCACTAGAACCAGCCCAAAAACCCCAACCGAGTTCAGACATGCAGGGACCCGGAGCCGCAAATAAAAAAAAGCCAAACCGGACCGACCCTTCGCGAGGAACTATTTACTAGGCCGGATGCGCGCAAGCGCGCCACCAACCGTTTCGCGCGCGGGGTGGAAGCCCCGTCCCCGGGTTTTCACCAATAAGAGCATTGATTGTTCGTCAAATAAAAATCATACAACTTTTAACAGTGTTTCTCCTTCATTCACATTTATAAATAGATAGGCGCGCATGGTGCGGTTACATATAGCGGTACCAACGGCTGTGAGGTTCAGCCGTGCTGTGCAATGACGCACATGAAAATGTTCCTCTACAGAAACGAAATAAAGCATTTATGGCTTCTTGGAAACCGACTGGACCACCTGCCCATGGCAACAATGCAGCTAGAAGTTATTTGCAGATACCGGGACAGTTCATCACAGGTTTTTTGCTACTGTAGGCTCATTTCATATTGCACTGTGGCATCTGTCTGACCGGAGGTAGGCATGTAGGCTGCAGACCTGAGGGCTTGATTCAGTCAATCTGCACTGAGATTGTACCTTACAACCAAGGTGTAGCTATGAGATGAACATTGGGGGGGGGGGTTTAAAGTCTCCACCAATTTAAGGGCATCCAAGGGGCAAGCATTGGTTTTTATTATTGGGGTGGGGGTTACAATCCCCCATCCCCTCCATATTTTATGCCCATTTTTGAAAAATATGCATTTATTCTGTAAAACAGCAATGTATGATTTGTGGCACACATTATGACAAGCTGGTCTTTGATAAATTTGTATATATGTATATATTTTTTTTAGTAGGCAAAAGGAATAATGACTTGCCTTGAAAGTCTGAACTTTGACCTTTGGAGGTGGAGCATTCAAGGGTGAAGTGCTGGCCAGTGACCTTCTCCAGCCCACTGGAATTTTAACATAGACCGTACAGGACTGTTAGATAACATTTATGCCCCAGACCTGTTTCCATATCCTACACTCCCTAGCAGCTTACATTAAAGTGTGTGCTCCTGTTTGTTTTGCTGCTGCCTTCTTGTTTTCATCGCTGGCTGTGAGGTCCTCCTCTTTTTGATCAGTGCCAGGCCGCGCCAGTTAAGGCATCTGGAAAAGTAACAAAGGCCTTTTGTTGCCATTTTCAGTGGGATGTCAGTGCTACTTTTACCCTTGACTGCATGAATCACCAGCAAAAATCTACCAGAATCCTCACCACCAAATTCCAGAGTCCAGGCTACCTCACTGTGATCTGTTTGTGTAACGGATATACTTGTGTCTCTGAAAAACGAGGAGAGTCCCACCCATTTGGCTGGTATGAAACCATTCTGCGAAGGGCTGGGTGTGATTTACTCTCTTGGGGTGTCTAACCACCCCCCACCCCCCGGCTTGGATGTTTCTCGAATTCTCACTGGCTCTCTGCCTCGTTTTTAATGAATGATACAAAAGTACTGGGCTTTGTGTGTCCATCAGTGACATTTCTGTGGTACCAGAATGTAGATTCTAAAAATTAATTTCCTGCCGTTAGTCACCTGTGTCTGGAGGGGGGGGACACAAATACTGCAGAAACACAGCTGCGTGTGTAAAGAAGCCGTCAGCCTGCAGGGCCGAGTGACCCCAAACCTCCTGCCGGCAAGAGGGACTGTAGCCAAGTGTAAGACACTGTAGTAGGAAATGGGAGAGGTGATGGAATGCGGCTCGGATTATTCGGTGGGACACCTTCTGCTCGGCTGCCCTGCCCCTGCTGGCTGTCGTCCCAGACTCTCAGCATTTCTCCGGGTTTGAGATTAGTGTGTCACGGAGAAGGTGCCGGCCTCTCAGGCAACCTCAGCTACCTCGAGGTTACAGCCCAGCGGCAAGGGGAGGAGCCAGTGATCCTGACAGACACATGTGCATACACAAGCTTCCAGGGACAGAGGAAGTTCTTGGGGGTCAAAGGTGAGCCTGCTGCCCCAAAGTCTTTCTGTCCCCCATCATGGCCGTCACCAGCCTAAACCTAACCCCCATGTCATTAGTGATGAAAATGACGCCACTGTGAAGCATCTCTGCTGATCTGTGACTGTGACCTTTGAACCTGCCATTGCGTGGAATGAAGGATTCAGATACAGGACAGATGCTTTTCAAAGAAGGCCCCAGACATCAAAGGTGACACTCTAAGGCCCTCAGGTGACATGAGAGCAGAATAACACAGAAACACGTATTTTGTCAGTGTCATCAATGGATAAAGGGTCAATCAGAAAGGTCACACAGAAAGTGAACAAAAAGCAGTACCATCATTCATGTTACATATTTTACATTGCTGTTAGATTATGTACAGATAGTCTATCCATGTATATACTGTGCATGTGTGGTCTGAATCAAGCCCCCGTGTCTGCATTTATGTACTTAATCTGCACTTTATCCCTATAATTGTGTACATGCAGCCCCCCATGTGTCTTATGTTGCACCGTGGTCTGGGGAGAAGAATATCTCGTACCACTATATACTTGTGTATGGTTGGCACAACAATAAAGTCCCACTTGACTTGACTTGGTGCTACTGGGCTGATTTTGTTTATTGTTGGTATTATAATTATAATTTGCTTATTCGTTGGTAGGGTAGAAGTGTTTTTCCACTTAACAGAATTATCCATCAAATGAGTTAAGGCTGGTAGCCTTCCTGATTGGTTGATGAATCTGCATGGTATTTAACACAGCCTTTGGCTCACAATTACATCCTGCTCAACTCGGTCCCCATGCAAATTAACACAAAGGGCGGTAAAATCTTTTACTTTTTTTCTAAACACAATAGGAAACAGGTGAGTTAATATTTAAAATGCGTGTCTGTAGCCAAATTCCCCACACCTTGTAGCTCTGGTTTATATTTGAGTGTGAGTTTTCACTTTTTTTTTCCAGACAGCTCCCTCTGCTGGCAATTTGCAATCATACATAGAAACCACCCTGTTTTAAGATGAGAAGTTCTGACTGAAGTGTTTATTGAACATTTGCATTAGGTTAGGAGATGATGAGCAACAAGACCTTCAAGAGGAAGGCCAGTCCAGCGTATGTAATGATGAGTTCTAGAATGTTCTAAATGTCACCCGAGGGTCATTAGATATGACTCAGTCCTGCAGGCGTGGCTCTCGCGTAGCCACATGTAGAAACGGACTGTTATGATCCAGGCATCACGTCCGTCAGTGCTGCTCACGAATTATCACCCTGTGGACAAATGTATTTGTGGCAAAAGCTTCTGATTAAGGAAAAAAAACTATGAAAGGTAAGTTTTTAAATACCAGGTCTGTGGTAAAAAATAACATTTTGTTAATAATGTCCGTGAGAATTCCTCCGGTGATGTTGTAAATTCATGAACTCTGTGTCATTCTGCGCTGGAATTTCTCGTCAAAGATGCTCAGCTTTTATGGCCCTCCAATACGAAGGTTTTGGCCTGATCTGGATGATCTGTTCTGAAGGGCGAACCATCACTATGATAGACAACCAAAACCAGGCTCTGGTGAGACATAAGACAGGAAAAACAGAACATACCAGAACTAAGAAATAAAAGCTGATCTCCAGTCCAAAGGAATAATATTTATTGTCCAGAACAGCAGCTTGAATGATGGTGACGTGTGACATTTAGTCATGTGACTTGCTGCCATCTCGGCCTGTCTTGACCACTCCAGTCTCCAGCTTCAGGATCTCTGTCCAACAGCTGTCTAAGTCCTCTGACACACATTTGCTGGGGGAGAAAGCACACATCATATGGAGACTGCATCACACGTCTCACGGGTTTCCATGGATATCATGCATTACTGCATGTTTTAAATTCATCATGCAGTTTCACTTAGAAGAATGCATGATCTGGCCTTAATAAAGTCTGTTCGTGTAAACACGACGGGTGACTTTCTGAACCGCACCACATGATGGGTCTGACTTGGCTGATGAGCTCTGGAAGCTCTTTGTCTTTGGTTTCGGGAAGCAGCAGACTCAGGAAGCCCACCAAGACGGTGACGCCGCCCATCAGGAGGTAGGGGGCGACCATGTTGTAATCTCCTAAGGACAGAAAACGGAACAATCCTTGACTGAATCTGCCCAGCATTACTAGTGGATTTGGATAATTAGCTTCTAACTGGGAGGAGAATGTTCATAATATGTATTGAAACAATATAAAAAGTTTCAAATTAAACCCCAAAACACTGTATAATAACAGCTAATGGGGGGATAATCCATTTTAGGACTGAAAAAAGCTCAAACTACCATTATATAAATGAGGCTACAATATGGCTGCTGTAAGCTCTTGTCAGGATGGAAACGATTTGGGATTGAATCAATCGAAAATAAAAGGATGACAAGAGACGTACCGATGTAGGCGATGTAAGGGGACAGGATACTGGCAGTGTGTCCGGCGGTGGAGATAACGCCGACGCCTGTGCTGCGTAGTACGGTGGGGAACATCTCCATGGAGTAGATGTAGATGAAGCAGTAGGCTGCAGTGATGCCCCCTTTACCCAGCATGGCCAGCACCAGCACCACCGCGTCCAGCTCTGAACACAACAGTCCAGTTACTGGCCGAAACCTAAGCCAAATCGTAACAACAACCTTAACGTATTTGATGGTGCTCTAAGTTCAGAGATCACCGTGTAAATGCGGTCACCAGGACAGACAGCCTGTACTGCTGCAGGGACCTTCAGGCGGCAGATTTAACAGATTCAAAACACAAGGGTCTGAACCGGTACCATCAGGGACGAACTTGATGACGAGAAGCGTCACCCCCGACAACAGGAAGAGGAAGATGAGGGTGAAGCGGCGGGCGGTGTATCTCATGAAGAGCCACGTGGCCACATAGGCCACGATCTCGGTGACGGCGGAGATGAAGCAGTTCAGGTAGGGGTCCCCACCCATGTTGGGGGTGTTCAGGGAAAGGCCGTAGTAGGTCATGGACGTGACAATCCTGTGTGTTAGGAGACACAGGAGAGGGAGTCACCTCCAGCAGTGTCAGGGTCAGCTCCTGTTGTCTCAGTCTTTCGTGTCCCTTCCCCATTTGGCCAGCAGGGATCGCTGGCCATCCTGTCCCTCCTGTTACCCTTTGTTTTCCCCTGTTCCCTGTTTGCCACCTGGCTCATCGATTTGAGCATGCAGCTGCCTGTGAACCTCTCTGTCTTTTTGTTCCTAGTGTTTCATTTATATCAGCTTAGTCCTGTGATTTGTATTCAGTTTTGGTTTCTTGCTTTGTGCCTTAGTTGTGTTTTACTGGTCGTTGTTATTCCCAGTGTTAGATTCTGTTTTCCTTGTTTCTTTGTCAGTTCTTAGTTTCCCTGTTTTAGTTTCTGAGTTTCTTGTGTTAATGATTAGTTTCCCCTGTTGCCTGTTTTCTTACGTTAGTCCTTGTGTGTTCTCCCTGATTGGTTAATTGTTTCATGGTTCATTGTTTGATGTCTTATGATGTATGTTACCTACCTGCCCCATTTGTAGTTAGTCTTTGGTTTTCCCCTTTTACTTTTGACCCCTCGTGGACTGTTTTTGTTCTATAAGTGTTTTTTCTGTTTGTTAATAAGTCCCCGTTTGTCCTCTGAGCCGTCAGTGGGTCAGAGGACATTCTGATCCCTACCTGCCTGATGCCACGCCCCCGTGCCTAACCCACCCAGATCTGTGACACGCAGAGGTAGATAATTCAGATCCAGAAAGTAAATATCCAGACCAAGATTTTGCTTCAACCAATCAGCTGAGTACTCTGTGACTCTTTATTCTCAACTGGTTGGTTGAAGCAAAATCTTGGTCTGGATTTTTACTCTCTGGATCTGAACTATCAACTTCTGACCTCCAGGGACCAGATGAAGGACAGCAGCTGAGAAAGGATAGCCCAGCATGTACATTTCTCATTTCAGAAATTTTATCTAATTGTGAGAATATTTATATACAGGTCATTTCACTATAGCCTTTTTTAGATATTTATACATATATAAACAGGCAGTATTTACCAAACAATGGTGTTCAGGATAGTGATGTTCCTGATATTAGCTGTTCTGACGAGGTCGACAATGGTGTACACTCTCTGAGGCTCTGTTTTTCTCAGCTGCAAAAAAAAAAACAGCTGATGAGAGTCCTGCAGCACATCAGAATTACATCCAGAAATGAAACATCAAGCAGTTAAATAATAGCAGTTACCACAAAGTAGGATTTCTTGCTTAGCCAGATAGCTTGCTGGATTTAAGGTAGTCTGAGCTAAATAGACTTTGTTCCCTTACATTTAGCCCAGACTACCTTAAATCTGACAAATTATCCAGCTAAGCAAGAACTCCTGCTTTGTGGAACACCCCCTGATGTTTTAAGACATAAATGTATTTAAATTGCGGTGATGTGAGGGTGTTTTATGTTATTGGATATATGTGGCTGCTTAACAGCCACAGAATTAGCTTAAGGCACAACAACTAGACACACACTGGCATTACCCTGTCACCCCCCTTTCGAGACTCCTCCCAGTTTAAGCTGATTTGCATGGGATCACCCTGTCACCCTGGCTTCAAGACTCCACCCAGTTTAAGATGATTAAGTCAAAATTACTCTGTCATTGTGGCTTTGAGACTACACCCAATTTAAGATGATTAACTCAGAATTACTCTGTCATCCCGGCATCGACACTCGACCCATTTTAAGCTGATTTGCTCAGAATGACTCTGTCACCCCATCTTCAAGACTTCGCCCAGTTTAAGATGACTTGCTAGGGATCACCCTGTAACCCTGCCTTCAAGACTCCGCCCAGTTTAAGCTGATTTGCTCAGAATCACCCTGTCACCTTGCCTCCGATACTCCGCCAAGTTTAATGTGATTTGTGGCAGTGCCTGCTCCTGCAGGGTCGGTTTCTGCTCACCGGCTGAGAGCAATCGTCCATCTTGAAGATAACCTCTGGAGCGCTGACACCATTTTTCTTGGCGATAGCTTGGATGATGGCAGTAGCCTCCTCCACGTGACCATGAGAGAGCAGCCAGCGAGGGGACTCCGGGATGAGCCTGAAGGAACCAGCGTTGAGGGGAACGGCCCTCATCTTCTTCCCAGAAAGGAACTTCAGCCTACTAGTTCTGAGACTAACTTGGTGATCTAAGAATCCAAGCTGGCTAATGCTGGTTTAGTGCTGGTGTAGCTGGTAGACCAGCATAGCTGCACATGAAGCTGGTCCACCAGCAAAATTTCATTAATGATGCTGGTCCACCAGCACCAAAACACAACATTATGCTGGTCATGCTGGTAATTAGCTATATGGTCTATACTGGTTTTTGCAGCAAGGAAGAATAAATCTAGGAACCATGAAACATCAGGGCTGCAACAGTCAGTGTCCAAAACAGAACCTTAATACTGAGTAGGATGAAACCACTATGAACTCACCACCACAGTGGGACGCAGAGGAACCCAGGAACCGACAGAGCCATTTGCAGCATCCGCCAGTCCCGGATCAAGTAGGCAAAGATGGGGAGACAGGTGTAGCCCAGAGCGTAGCAGATGCAGATCCCCAGGGAGGAGAACAAAACGCGGGTGGACTTACCAAGCAGCTCAGAACCTATCGGAACATGAGAATAAAAGTGTGTCTATGTGTGTTTACTCAAGGCACAAGATAGGCGTGTGCTCTGGAATTACTCTGGCCCTGCCGCCATCTTTGTGATCACTTCTTTGGGTGCTTGTCACTCTCGATTCTTGGTCTCTCAGTGTACTGCAGTAGATCTCAAATTGAAGTTTGACTGTATGATGTTCCTAGCACTCTACGTCACCCGTCTCCATGCTACACTACCTGCACTGGCCTGAGAGGACCTAACAAGCCAGCACTTGCAAATCAGAAGTTAATACTATAGCTGCTTGGTGGACTTTTTTCCCATGTCGCAGTAACCTGGCCTTTCACGCTGAAACAGCTCAGGTTCTGAGCCCCAAGGGCAGATTCATAAAGATGTCAACTTGTCTAGGAAATTGGTGTCCTGAACTACCCCTGATCTGATCTAGATTATTCACAGATATTTGTTTGGTTCATCATGGATTCCAGGGAAGAACATGAAAGCAATGTGATGAAAGCGTTTCACAGTCTGACGAGCTGTACTGGAAGAGTAAAACACATGTTGCAGGTTGAGCTCTCTGATCGAGTTTACCAGCTGACCACCAACTAATTAACCAACAGGAAACATTTTAGGCTGATGGACAATCGGATATGGTTGTGGTGAGAGCTAAGTAACCTCTTCCTCTCAGTCCTATGATGTGGAGATTATTTAACGCTTAACTTGACTATGGCTGCACGATATTACATCGCGATTATATGGCCCATGCACAATTATCACTAGGGCTTTAGGTGATCGGCGGAAACATTTGTCCAGACACCATACACTATATGTTCAGTACTATACACACATTTACTTACGCTCACAATTTGGTAAGCAGATTAGTAGCGGGTCTAAAATATTAATGAGATGTGTACTCTGTATAAATGCAGTTTTTCCTTATGTTTAATAAATTCAGTTAGCAGAGCAGGCCACATAATACTGGTTTGGTAAATCATGGAAGCAACAAGCACTGAAGTGGCAGTTAAGGGAGGGACAGCTCAGCAAGTGTGGTGGCACTTTCTTACAGTTTAAAGTCCGACACATTTATTAAGCCACTGTTGTTATATCAAACACCGGACAGAAAGGAGTTTACCGAGAATGAAGGCAGACATGTAGCTGGAGGTGTATGCCATTCCCACGAAGAAGTAGAAGGTGCAGTACCACTCCCAGCTGCTAGAGAGCGCCTGAAGCAGGGCAAATGTGTTCTGCAGCACCAGACTGACAAAAAAAACCAGCTTCCGGCCAAACCTGAGGAAGAGAGGAGTGCGTGCAGCAGAGGTCACTGGGAGAATCACGCGTGACAGTAGGTGACCTGGTGGCTTGGACTTGGACAGAACCATGTAGAGCAATTTTAGTATGAAGAAACAATATTTCAGTGATGGTAAATTCAAAGTAACATATAGCTGACTTTGGTTTTAATCCAGTCATCGTCTATAATTGCTGATTCAGTCCAGGGTGATGGGGAGCCTTGGGGCATGGGACTGGGGCCCCCGCGGCAATATGCCAACACGTCACAGGCAGCACACACTCACTGCCACACTGAGGACAATTTTAGGAGACCAGTCACAGACCTAAGCTCTTATACACTATGGGCAGCCTTTGGACTGTGGGAGGGTATTAGAGGTATTTTCTGCAAAAAATAAAATTAAAATGAAAATGATAAAAAGAAAATACAATCTCCACTTTGCCATTTACTTCCCAAAGTCTGTGCGTAAAAATCCTGCA